AGTGAATAAGAGTTTAGGACTCGATTAAAATAAGTGGACATATACAGTTTTGTGGAGAATAGACAATAATAGACAAAATGTGTTCGAGGAAAGTGCGCCAAACGGTCTTGAAAGTCGTCGAATTGAAGCAAGAATTGGAGGGAGCTTGATTGTTCTGGAGAGAAATCAGTACTCCAGAAGAGACTGTGTGATAACTTGACTGAATCAGGAGAAGATCTCGAACATATTTATTCAAAGTTTCTGGGGATGATTTGACTTCAATAATAAGCAAACTCGCTGAACTTCGACAAAACTCGGTAACACTTGAAGAGAAGCTTCTGGGAAAGTTTGGAAGATAAATTTCTAGAGAATTCGAAAAGTATGGAAGACAAATTTCTAGAGAATTCGAATAGCTTGAAGGAAGAACTTATAAAAAATGAAGAAGGGTTAAAGAAAGAACATTGTGGTGTGGCGAGTCTACTCGAAGAAAGGATAGGAATCATTGATTGAGAAATAGACAAAATCAGGAAGAAAATGAACACGAAAGTAGAAGAAATCAAAGGCGGAGTTCAGGCAGGAATCAGCTAGATGAAGCAAACAATTAGCAATTTGCAAAACCAAATCGTTAATTCTGTCCACATCACAGAAACTGGTACCGAAAAATCAATTCCGGAACTGAGTTTCAACATGGAAAAACTTCAAAAGGCAATGAAAGATGTCAAAGTCAGTTCTGAACCAGGAAAGCTCTCCATGAAGCCGCCCCAGTTCCTTGGGCAAATTACCGCCACGTCGTCAATTCGAAGCTGCGGCCAGAGCGAATGGATGGAATGCAGGAGAAAAGGAGGTAGCATCAACACTGGCGTTGGGTGGAGAAGCAATGAATATTTTGCAAACCCAACTTATAAAGCATCTTGAGCTACGGTTTGGGCAGGCCCTCCTAGAGCACGTTTACCATTCACAGCTGAAGAACTGCTGTCAAAAATTAGGAGAATCTCTACAGGAATTTGAAGCCGACATTGCTCGATTGGTTCGTCTGGCATATCCTGCTACACCGGAAAATGTAATGTAGCGGTTAGCAGTTCAGGCATTCTTTGACGGACTTCGCGACCAAGAAACGAGGCAGGCCTTGACACTAGCTCATCCCAAACATCTCGTGGATGCACTGGCAAGCGCTCTGGAGTTTGAGACTGCAAAACAATCCTGCAAGAGGCAGAGCAAAGTTCTAACTATCGAGGAAGATAGACAGATGCCTACTGATATCGAGGCCACCATTAGAAAGGTAATAAAAGTATCGTTGCCTGAAAGAAAAAAATGAGATGCTGGAACTGTGGCAAAATTGGGCATGTGCGTAGCAAAAGTACACCATTCAAAGAACCAACACCAAATCAAAAAAACTAGAAGGGGTCGATGAGAAGGGGCAATTGTCGGCGTGTACCCAGCAAGCCCCCGTAAAAAACGCATATGTTGCCATTCTCCAACCACAAGACAAAGGTGTTTTCGTGGACGGCCTCATCAACAACGAGCCTTGCACCATACTGCTAAATGCAGGTGCGAGAACCATTCTTAGACCAACCTTTTCCAAAACACCGGCAAGAATTGAACCGCCAAGTTGGAAGCTACGCACCGCAACAGGGAAGCCAGCCACTATACTTTGAGAACTACCAATTGAATTGGTGTTGGGCAGCACTAAATTGAACCATCGTGCATTGATGGCGAACATCGAGGACGATGCGATTATTGGAATGGACAGAATGAACTCCAGAGGGTTCGAGCTGAATTTTCAAGACGGCGTCCTACGTGTCGGCGGAGAAGAGCTGGTGCTTCATGGAAGAAGCGAAGAGATGATCAGGGTTCTGTTGGCTGAATACGTGTGCTACCTAAGAGGACTGAAACCATTCTGGAGGGTCGCTTGGACGGAAGTGCGAGCAGCGGAAAGGTGGTTATATTCGAGCTCAAGATACACGATGAGAAAATTGGACGAGGAATCGCACTGGAAAATACCCTGTTGCGTGTTGATAAAGTAGTACCGGTCAGGGTCATGAATGTCAGTTACTTTCCCGTGACCTTGATGAAAGGAACAATGCTGAGGCACTGTTCGTCCATTTCCTCTATGATACGGAGTGTACGCAATACAGTTAGTAAAGCCAACAACTTGCCTAAAGAGTTGGAGAAGTTGATTGACATTTCCGCCAAGGGCATACCACAAACCCACCGATCCAAATTGAGGGAGTCAGTCAAGAAGTACCAGGAAATCTTCGATATCGGAGAAGGAAAAGGTGGCAAAACGAATGTGGTTCAGGATAGAATTCTTTAAATTGTTACAATATTATCTTCGAATGATAATTTTTTTGAGGTAGCCAGTTAATGATTTCAGCTTTTCGTCAGGCAGTTGTTGGTGACTGCTCCAATTGTATGCTGTGGTAGAAGGCATTGTCCATGACGACGACAGAGTTTGGTTCAAATTCTGATAAAATATTGAAAAACCAACTTTCGAACTTTTGCGCGTCCATTTCTTCGTGGTAATCACTAGTTTTCTTAGACTCAAAGAGTAACAAGGCGTTTTCCACAAAACAGGAATCGCTGCCTATACGAATTATTATGAGCTGTCGCTGTCGTTGAGAGGCCTTCAATGAAAGCTTGGCGACAACTTTTTATTTCCGAATCTTGCCATATCTTTGAGACAGTATCTAAATGATAAATCTTTCTACCTTCAAGGCGATACTCTCGGATTTTTTCAAATAACTTCTCCGCCACAAAATAATTTCTTTTTCTATAAAAGCACTTCTCCTACCTCTTTTTATAAATTTAATGTTAATTTGCTTCAATATGGGCAATAAAACACGTCGTGCTATTTGGGGCATTGATTCATCGGAACTTATTTCGGCTGCAATTTTTCTCAAAGATTGTGATTTCATTTCGGAAAAAGAACAAATGTCATTTCTTACAAATAGCATATTTTGTACAATCATCATTTGTTTTCTTCCACTATAGTTTCAATGTCTTTAGATACATTATCACATTTACTTTATCTTCAATGGTTTTGAGAATTCTGTGAACACTTGTCGTAGAGACTTTAGTTAAATCACTATACAGATTAACTACGTCGTTATGAAACATATTTTCATTTCATTCACGGACCTCACAATACACATTGTATATAATAGTTTTTTCTCCTTTAGATAAATTCGGACGTCTGCGTTTGCTTTGACTGCTTTCACTTCCCATATTGCTCACAGTTTACAGCTCAAAATTAAACTGATTTATAATGATATTTCCCTTGTTTCAATCATCAAACAAATCCCTTTGTTTTTACCTGATATATATTTTTTTACTTACTGTTGATTCTTTTTTCTAGAAATGTAGGTTCCTAATATTGCTACATCGGTAACAAGAACTTTTAGAAACATAATAGTGCAATTCTGTATTGATGACACTTCAACTTAGGTACCTACGTTTACATGAAATCTGTTTGGAAGTTATCATTAGAACTGTTTTTGAAAATGCCTTCAAATATCTGAAATGGAGAGACAATTGAAATTTGAATCCTGAAGAATACTGGAGATATGATTCGCACTCAACAAGATAACTTGCGAGTGTTGTACTAAAGGTAGGTATCAACAAGACTTAGTTATGTCTTCAGTTGAAAATTCACACTGTACAGAACGAGGATTATCAAGCGATAGGAATATTGGAAAGTTTTCAATACCATTTCCAGTTTATAAGCAATACCATGCTTATAAATCAGTTATCATTCATAAATGAAATGACTGAAGACAAATTTGACGAAAGTGAATTCTGCAACTATATGATCGACCAGAATATGAAAAATAACAAATTTATTTTCAGATGAGGTAATGTTCTATTTGAGCGGGTTTGTTGATTGACAAAACATCCGGTATTGGTCTGATGAAATTCCATACTTGATGCAAGAATACCATGTGCAATGACCAAAAAAGGTCAATGAGTGGGCTACTATTTCAAAGGGTTTTTCTTCTTTGGATCAAAAAAACCTCTGTACATATTTCACATATCTTTATAAACAGTTTCTATTGTAGTTATTTTCTTTCTTCTTGTCCCACATTTTTTTGGTTAACAATGGAAAAGTAGAAAACTGAACAGCTTCTTTCCCTTTTCAATTTTAATAAAATTTCCATGACTGGAATCAAATTAACTAATCTTATGAATGTGTAGATATACGTACTGTCATAATGTCAAAAGCAGAGTTATCTCTGGTCTGTGACGAAAAGAAAAACGTTCTGAATGAAATAATAAGTGATTTTAAATCATTACCCTTTCATACATGGACTGTTCAAAAAATGAGATGATTTACTTTAACATTCTGCAACCGGAAGAAACTATCACAGCAGAGGCCTATTGTGAGGAAATCAAAGAAATGTACCAAAAATTGCATCAGCAGCACCCGGCACTAGTCAACAGAAAACGCCTGTCACTAATATTGATTAAATTGAGTAAGTATTCACTGAGATATTACAGTTTAAAGTAGACTCATAAAAACGGACAAAACTTTTGAAAAAAACCTAATATGTTATTTTTATATTTCACTGACCCTATACATTGTGAATCATGGTACATGGTACAGAAGTATGTTTATACTTTGTCAATAAGATTTTCATGTCTTCGGACAATAAAGTATAATTTGAATTGAATTGAGTTTACTTCTGAGTGTGGCCACCTAGATGCAATATCAAAAGAGACTGAAATAATGAAGTCGGCGTTGAAACTTTTACATTTGGAAGACATTTCTTGAACAAAATTCGGTGAAGACTTACTAAAACTGGAACTTTCAACAATTTTTCATAACCCTCTTGATATAAGAGATATCTAAATTCGCTGCTCTGAAAAAAGGTGAATATTTTTTGCAAAAATACATTGTGAATGATTTAATTGATTACTCGAATCTCCATCCAATATACATTTCAATTGCATTACCATTGAATGGCTACCCTAACTTTCAGGAAAATACCTACTTCGTACTTGGGTGAAATTTAAAACACACTGAATAATAAATAAATCGTATATTATCACTAAAAATAAAGAGCAAAACAACTCATTCTCACAAAAATAATCTTTGAGAAGCAAAAACAACTCCTTCAGCACCTATAAATAAATAACATGTAAAATTCAATATAACCATTTCAGCTAAGTCTTCTCATCTATCACATTGACTGGAATCGAGACTAGTACCGCTAGAGTACGACCTATTATACTTCAAATGACTCCTGACCAAGTGACCGCTGGCCAAAGCGGCCATGAGAGAGATCTCGCCTGCGAGTACCGCTCCGCACACGACCCTCGCCAGTTGTCTTGCGTTGGCCCCTGGGTCATCTTTATTGGGTCCTTCAACACCGAGCATCTTCAGGCAGGCTGATTGAGCTGGTAGAACTGTGCCTCCGCCAACGGTGCCAATCTCTATGGAGGGCATCGTGCATGAAACGTAGAGGTCCTTGCCATCTTCCCCCCAGGGCTCCATGATAGTCAAACAATTGCTGCTCGCCACATTCTGAGCCGGATCTTGACCTGTTGCGATGAATATGGCAGTGACTAAGTTGGCTGCATGAGCATTGAAGCCGCCTGGAAAATAATAAATCAAAATCAGAGAAGTGCTTTAATTCAAGAAAAGACCAGAAAGATAAGTTAAAAGATATCTACAAGAATACTTTTTGTCCAAGATGAGGACAACCTCTACGGGAATCTGGGAAATAGTTTTTTTGCTGCTTTAGAAGCCGTTTGACTTATTCATTGATTCATTTCTTCAGAGTATCTGGAAAACCTTGCAGCCTCAAGGACTTACTGCATTCATCCTCCAGTTTTTTTATGTCACTCGCTTCAACAATCTTGTTCCCTATACTATAGTTTATGCAATTCATATATTCACATAACACATGACAAGCTATCTGCAGCGGAACAGTAGAAATGGAAAGGTTAAATCAAGAAAAAGCAGCGCAATCACCCTAGCTTGAGCGCTTATGTAATGGTAGAGAATGTAAGAAATTATTGGGCAAATAAGTAATTGTTGTTCAATAAACTGTAATCATTATTATTTCATTATCTGAAATAACAATTCTATTCATAAAAACCAAACCATGTTTAGTTTTCCTTTTATAACTCGACTGTTCCCCAAGATAGTTACCTTTTTTCCCATTTATTTGTATTCATATCTGTTCTGGTTTAGAATATAGCAATGTTACCACATAATAAAAGAAAAGGTCTGATTTGATTATATTTTCTTTTGTTACAATGGTAAAGTACTAGTAATTAATTCCTCTAACTGAAAGTGTAAGATTAGTACCTTCAATACACCCATTGATAAAGTTCATAGTCTGGTTATCTGTAGATAAATCAATCAATCAATCAAACATTTATTGAATCAGTTTTCCTTCACAATCACATTAGACAAAAAAAAACATAACATCATCATAAAATACTAGCTGATTCAACAGATCAAACAAACATAAAAAAGTCTATATAAAACATACATAAAAAAAGTTAATAATCTACAATCAAATAAGGATTCAAGGAGAAACTCATCCACAGAGTAGTATGCATTTTGCAATAGAAAAATCTTGAGTCACCTTTAAGACATTGATATTTGAGGATTTAATGTCTCCACTAATCTTATTATATAGATTAACCCCAAAGCATATGGGGTGATTCTTTGATACTGTCAATCTATTATAAGGTTGATGATGTAGTCGAGAGTTATTTCTGGTGCCAAATATTTTACAACTCACCTATACTTCCAGCAACCGCAGAACCAATCATGTTCTTGGATATATTCAAGTCCACCATAGCCTGTGTGCTCGTTTTTAAAATGGAAGAAACGATTCCAGCCGAAATTATGCTTTCGCAGACGACGGATTTCCCTCTCCCCTCTATCCAATTGATGGCGGCTGGCTTCTTGTCCGTGCAAATGTTTCCGCTCAAACTGAGCACTTCCATATCAGGAAAACGGTCCGTCAGGTCTGCCAGGGCTTTTTCGGTGCCCTTTGAGATCATATTCATGCCCATCGCATCCCCCGTTCGAGCGACAAATCGAATGAAAAGGTAGCGACCAGCTATATGGACGGTCACTTTTTCGAGCTTAGCGAATCTGCTGGTAGAGTCAAAAGATTTTTTTACTATGAAGAAATTTTCGTCTTTCTTCAACCAGAGCATCGCCTCACTGGCCTTTACAATAGAGGGAAAGCGTGTGACAGGGCCTCTTGTCATGCCGTCTCCCACCACCTGGCTTCTTATGCCGCCCTTTTCAACAGCACGGCATCCTGAAACGAATTGATTACTGTTTAAAATAATATGACGATGATTTGTTGAAATGTATAATCCAAGAAATTGAGATATACTTGATTTCATGGGAAAAATAAATCATTGAAATCAACATTACATTGATAAGGGACATTACACACTAGGGATTTTCTTGGTATCAATGATCTAGGACTCTAGGAGGTGAAGTAATTGAAGAATACATATAGTTTACACTGAAAAGAACATAAACTCATTCTGTTTAACAACCATTTCCAGAGACAGCATGAGGGCATTGCAATGGAAAACCAACTGTCTGCCTTTGCAGCTAATATGTTTGTGAGCAGATTCGAACTGAAAGCAAAGGAGAAGTTAGATTACTTTCCACGTTCCTGGATCCAAAAGACACCATAAACAACATTTATAATCCAGATATTGTTATTCAATATCCTAATAATGATTTTCAAACTAATAGCATGTTTATTGCTAAATTGGAAAATGATGTTCTTGAAATAATTAAAAACAAGATAAAAAATGAACCATCCTATGGCTTTGATAGAATCTCTGGAACTGCCATTAAGAACATAGGACCCCACATACTGGAACCATTAATGCATATCATAAACTCATCTTTTACAGAAGGAAAATTTCCGTCTAGAATTAAAACTTCCGTAATTAGTCCAATGTGAAACAAAGGATGCTCAGAAAACAACAAAAACTATAGGCCACTATCAGTACCATCTGTTTTATTGAAATTAATTGAATATGCTATGATTGATCAGCTCACGAATTTTTTTAACAAGTACCAAATAATTAGTGATAATCAAATTGGCTTTTGCACAAAACACTACAATGTCTGCGATAACATCGTTCTATGAAGAAATTTTTGAAGCCATTGAAAACGGTAAGAGCCCGACAGGAATCTTTTGTGACTTCAGTCGTGCTTTTGAGTGTGTTCACCATGGCACACTACTAAACATCTTATACAAATACAAAATTAGAGGTATAATATAAGACTGGTTCAACGAGTAAAATTATGTGAATATAAACTGAAAAGTTAAAAATAATTTTTTTAAAATAACCTTAAAATAATAACGATCGAAAAATACTAGTATTATTGTGAAAAAAGTGTGGGCGCTAGATATAGAAAAAAAATGGCACAAAGCGCCCACGCTTTTTTCACAATAATGCTAGTATTTTTCGATCGTTATTGATTTAAGCTTTTTTTAAATATTTTTAACTTTCTAGTTCGATGTTCTTTAAAAGCGTGTTTTTTAGTTTTTTTAAACTATATTTATTTTCAACTGTTTAGCTCGATGTTCTTTGAAAGCGTGTTTTTTAGTTTTTTTAAACCATAATTATTTATTTTGAACAACTTATCAAGCAAGGAGGTTACGTACAGTGCCATCTGCCGCGAATAGATCAAGCAATAATGTCGAGAAATACGTACAGCGCAATCTGCCCGCGAATAGATCAAGCAATAATGTCGAGAGTTACGTACAGCGTCATCTGTCCGCAAATAGACCAAGAAATATCAAGGAGGTTACTTACAGCGCCATCTGGATGCGAATAGATTAGAATAGATTTAAGAATATTTGTGAATCGTCTAATCCGAACAGAGCCGAAAGGAATGCAGAAGAAATACAAACAATCCTTGGTCTAATTAATAATGTCAACATAACCGACACTCGTATCAAAGTGCAAACAATAGGTAAATTTGGAAATGGACTCAACAGATTACTGAAAGTAACTTTTGCTAATCTTGAAGATGCTAAGGAAGTTTTGAGATCAAAAGATAAATTGAAGCCAGTGATGATATTTGGCGATCAAACAAGAGAGCCTATTACAAGCAAGTAAAAAAGGAGTTGAATAGACTTATTGCAAATGGAGATAATTCGAAAACAATCAGGTACTTACACTCTGTTCCAACAATAGTTCCCAAATCTTACAAGGCGAATTCAAATAATAAAAATATTCCAAAAAACAATTAGTGAAGCCTAATAGTCAACCACTACAGTATAATGAGGATATAATTTATTTAAATATTCAGAGTTTTATCGCACACAAAACAGATATTATAACTAGCATTGCAGTATTGAATCCATCATTCATCATCTTGAGTGAATCAAGAACAACATCAGACATACAAAATTTTGAAATCAGCATAAATAACTATAACGTAGTTTGGTGCGATAGCAAAAGTCGACGAACTGGTGGAGTATTAATATATGTTCGAGTAGGAATAGATTATAGAGTTATCAAACCTAAAATTTTGGGTGGGAACTTTTGGATACAGTTTATAAGTGTAAAGATAAAGTCACAAAAGTGGCACATCGGTGGTATCTACCATTCTCCAAGCTCAAATCATGGAACAATTTTAGATACATTAGAGGACATTCTGGAGACATACTTTATAGGAAAAAAATGTCTAGATGATTGGCGACTTCAATATGGACTATGAGAATAATGATTTCTTCTATACCAAAAAGGTCAAACATTTATTTAATATGTATGGAGTAGATCAAATTGTAAATACAAGGACACGGTGTACGCAGCATAGCTCTACTCTTATATATTATGTTGTAACAAATATTGATTCTAATCGAGCAATTGTTCATGATAATCCAAAACTAACTGACCACTCTATCATATCTGTAAATTTCTGTGATGCAAATATCACGTTAGGGGAAACATTTAAGCAAATTAGAAAGATTAACGTAGATACCTATCATAACATAAACATTGAGCTATTGTCCTGTAACTGGAATTTGAATTCAGTTAACGTTGATGTGATATTGGAGAATATAACAAAAAACTGTCTAGATATTGTTGATCAGATAGCACCAGAACATACTGTTAAAATAAAATCAAATCAAGTCCCATACTATGATAGTGAATTGAAAATCAAAGCAAAGGAAAGAGATTTAGCTTATAAGAAATTCAAACAAAGTA